TTTCTTTTTCATCAAAAATTCCCCACTTAACCTAAGAGAACAAAAACACCACACTCCAGCTTACAAAGACTATACAGTTGCATGGCCAGCCAAGCACTGATCCAGATCTTTAGATTACAGGAAGGAGAGCCGAAATGTTATAATCAGAGGCCTCAAAATAAGAACAGTTACCCTCCTAATCTAGAGGGGCTGCAGTTGTGAACTGGAGTAAATTAGGCTCAACCCTCAGTTAGGTATGCTGCATTAACGGCATACCTGAACCACCACTAGGAATGACGAGAAAGACAGGGTTATCTCCCCACTGGAATAAGAAAATAAATAGATCAAGAAGGTGACACTTCTGTAACAGGTATTATTAGGGTAGTTCAGTTCTGGAAATGAGGCATCGGGGTTTGATTGCTTCTCTCAGCTGATCGCTGTCCGGTGCCGTGTGCGGGCTCCCCCTGGAACGCTGCTTCCCGAAGGGCAGGAGCGCTGCGAGCCCTGCCTAGCGCTTAACAGGCCCTCACCAAGGCAAATGAGCAGCGAACAGGGCAGCTGGCACCAGCTTTACCACAGCAGCAAAAAGAAATCTCTCTTCTCATCCACCTAACCTTTTGGAGTTCCCCTCCTCCAACCCTGGTAGGCTGAGGTGTTGCTTTGAGCATCGCAAGTGTGTTCAGCACAAATAATGAGGATGTCAAGAAGAAGAAAGTGATATATGAAAATATTAAAGACACATTTTAGTAATGGATTAAGATAACTATCACTTCAGTTTTCTCTTCCTACAGTAGGTTCCCTTCAGCCAAGCCTTACGCAGCACACAGTCTCATTTATTTTTTATCTCTGCAGCACATTATTTTTCCTACCTAAAATTGTCAGTAAACTGTCTACCATCCAATTAAAAATTGCAATTTTCTCCTCTCAGAATTATACTCAAATCTAGATATTGCATTTTGCTAGGAGTTGCACCTCTTGCAAGGTATTGCTCACATCTTAAAGTGTGCAGCTCTCCTGCTACCAGATCTTTTGGGCTGAAGTGCCTTCCTTCCCTTAAAACTTTGTTCAAGGGTCTGGAAGCTGTTGATGAAACCAGCTACCTCTCCTAAATGATGTCAAACCATGCAGAATCTCTGTCCCTGAAGTTCCACTCAGGCTCTCTCCTCCTGAAAGGCAAACTTGGCTGCTTTCAAAAGCCCTTCTCCATTGCACAGCTCTGCCAGATGATCCCTGAATCCTCATTTCCTCCGAGAGCAGAAGCAGCTACAGCAGTCAGAGGTGAGTCTGACCAGCCAATTCCCTTGCTGCTTCCATGCAGCTGCACATAAAATGCTTTACTGTTAAAAATACTACAGTTTTACTTCTAGGCAACATCCGAGGTGGGACTGGACTTAATGCTAACAGGAACTACAGCTGAAATAGTGTATTCAAATCCCGAAGGAGGAGAGGATTTATCATGTACCCTTATCTGTTAATCACAGTCCTAATTAGTGGCTTTTAGCACCTCCTGCTGCCCTGCTCCCTGTCCGGGAGAGGCCTTTGCGGGTAAGAAATCCGCAGCTGGAAGGGGATGCTGGAGCAGTCATTCCTTCCACTAGCTCAATTGAATTGCACAGGAGAAAAAGTTAAAATAAATGCAGTCTGACACTTTCCTTCAGCTTTCCCATGCCGTGGGATTTATCTGCATGTCACAGGGGGTATGCTTTAGAGACGTCCTAGCAGTGTGCTTCCACTACCAGTTACATTGTCCAAGAACTGCAGTAATATACTGATCACGGGGTATTTTTTTATGCTCAGATGTGACTGTTTTAAAACTTGATACCATCAACAAAGAATAAAGCAGGCTTCTGGCTCCATCATCCCCCAGGCTCCACTCCCCAAAGCAGTAACTTTAGGAAAATGTGATGAAATAAATTTCTCTTGCCCCAGAAGAGCTTTGTATCTACCCCTATTACCAACCCCAACAGCAACAGTTCAAGAACATTCAGAGTTGTGCAGTGTCACCCATAGCCCCAGCAAAGGTGTGTTTGCATGTGCAACACAAATAGATTGTCTCTCTTTTACTGACAACCCTTCCCCCAAGAGACGGAACAATAATTTAAAATAACATAACTCTCAATAAACAAAATTACTGAAGAAAGTAAAAAAAAAAGTTCCCATTGTTCAGAAAGAAGTGATAATAACAAGAGAAGCTATCAAGCACAAATTTTCCTACTAGACTAGGTGTGACTCAATCTAAAGGAATATTTCACCTTGAATAAATTTTTCTTTTAGGCGAAGTAGTCTAAAATCTGTGCAAGCCTAGAGAAAGAGAAGAAAACCCCACAACAGAACACCTAGTATATAGAAAGTTTTTGAAATTATATCCCTGACAGAGCTGTGGAAGGAAACAGTCATAAATGTAGCCAGTCTTGTCTTTCTGTTAACAATGGTGGAACATATCTTCATGCTTACTGGTAATAATATTTTTCTCATTTGTACTCATTTAGGGTCAGAGTGACATATCTCTACTCAATATTAGATTGGCATTATTCTTAAAAGTGGTAGCGTGGGAGTCAAGGAGTTGTTTTTATCAGCCTGGTAGCAGGTTTTAATTTCCGAAGTCCAAAATGTCTTGTGAACCTATAGTATTGGAGGGATAATTCTGAGTTCATTCACCAGCTTGACACATTCCAGAGACAAAATTTGAGTAAATTCCTCAGCTGACAGACATACAATGAAACACATGAAGTGCCATGGGTTTACAACAAAGGAGAGTTTGATCCATGTTACATGACCTGCCTACAGAAATAAATTCAGTCATCAGAGGAGATGATACAGATCTCAGCAGCTCCCTGGCTCAGCTCACTTTGTCCACAGTGAGGTTTTCTGAGATGCTGGCCAAGGTTTGGGTTGAGCAGAGACACATTTTTCTCCCCTCTGTAGCCATTGTTACATTCCTCATTGTCCCCGCCGAGACAGGGCTGTGCAGCCCTAAATGGCACAATTTCATAATTCTGTTTGCAAAGTTGCCTCCACCTTTAGTCAAAAGCATCCATATTTGGCAATGTTCTAGATCAGCAAGTAGCTGAAATGCTAAAAGCCAGAGTCTAGAGCTTGATACAATCCAGAAGACTAATATGCAGGACAAAATAGAAGGGATTGAACCGGCTACACTCTCGTTGTGGTGTCCCATGGCCCTGCTCTGTTCACAGTGACAGTTCACCCAGAAATATGTTTATCACCACGGCAGGATTTCACAGGAAACAGAGGCTGCTGGTTAACAGGGTGGGCTCTGGGATTTGTATTTCACAGGCAGTGTAAAAAACACTCTGAGAATCAAACAGAACATTTTCCAAAATGCCCCATTAAAAGAGGAATTGGAGGGGCTAATGGATACTTTTCAAATATTTACAACTAGAAAAGAGTTTGAAATTTTATTATTAGAGGAAATTTTATTATTAGATGAAATTTTATTATTAGATGAAACTTCTGTTGTAGATTTGTACTTTGTGTTGTTCCTAACATATGTGACCTAACAATACTTCTAATTTTTATTGTTACAAAATTTTTATTGTTACTATAAAACACAGAAATATATTCAGATTTAATATTTTATTTTTTAAAAATCAGTAGTGATAGCTGCTTTTTCATCCTGGTTGAACTTTTCTGCATCACAATACCTCCTGTTGTAATGAAGCAGTTTGGAATTTCGAACAAGTAAGGATGATAAAGACCTAGTATGCTAATTAGAGGAGCAGATGTTTTCAATGAATTTGTGTTAGCCTGAAATTATTTTTTGACAGATATGAGTGTGCACTTTGCTGTTTGGCCAGTCAATAAGAGTTTGATTTCAGCAGGATTATTTTCCCCTCCAGATTTACTTCGTGTTATTTCATTTTTTTTTCTTTTAAAGTCAAAGAGAGTACTTTTTTCCCTAGATAAAAACAGGCTGGTCTACTGCTTCCTACTATAAACTCTTCTACCTAGCAATTTAGTACCACACATACATCCCTCACCTGAATTATTGGAAGATTTAAAAAAGGTTGTAATAATTTTCAAGTATAAAATAAAGACAAATTTTTTTTTCTGGTTAAAAATAAACCAATTACTTGTAATAATGTGATACTAAACTATCACTGTCATCTAGAAAAAAACCTTGAAAAATAGTAGGCCAATACTTGGGTTACTAAAATCTGAGATGCTTTTAATGAAGCTCCAAACTTTTGTAATTATGTTTTGTTTGTTCCTTTGGTAGAAATTTGCCTGGATGAAGAGAGAGGAGGAAGAACCACCTGGATGCTTCCTGCTGGTGTGGAGAAAACCAGTCTCTGCTGCTCAGAAGATAAAAGGTAAATCAGGCCCACAGAGAAGGCAGAAGGAACAGAAAAGGAACTTATTCCTGGAAAAGATCCTGTTTCTGGTGATTGGATGGGATGAGTGAAGCACTGACTGCTCCAGTCCTTATTGCCCCATGACTTCAGAAGTTGTCACTCTGGCTTAAAAGATTTTCACAATGATGGCAAAGCATCATCAGCAGGATTCCTTAATTGCTGCTCTGAGGAGTCTGCTGCCAGAGGGAGCTTGGTGGTCTGCAGCTCCAGGCAGCCCTCAGAGGAAGCCTGGCTCCAGCCTTGGGTAGGCAAAACTGGGTATCAGTTATTTTTCACAACATACCATAATGATCCAACAAAACACTTTGAGGGGTCTGGTCCTTTCTTTCCTACCTGATCATTTGGACCAGGGGCCTAATTTTCAGAACCAACTGATATTGTGATTTTTGTGGAAGTCATTAGGAACACTCTAAACTTCAAAACATCAGACATCCCTCAGTGTTCCAAGAAAACATCTCTTAATCCAAAACCATGGAAACATGCTGCAGCTCCTGCTCAATGTTGAAGGAGTCACAAGAGGCTTTCTAACTCAGGGCTTCTTCAGCTCTGCCCCTGGGCAGTGAATGGGAGCTTGGTTCACTGCACCCCTCATCATCCCATGTTAGAAAATCAAACATCCCCTATCCAAGGAGATTTTCTTACCTAGCCTGTGCTGGGTTACTCTGGACATGAGAATGGAATAGCTGTACCAACTTTTGCTAACCCTGGGTCACTGACAACTGAAGACAAGAGGTGAGGACCACCAATATTTCATTTAAGAAGCCTTTGCTTTTAAGAGCCTTCTGCTCTGTAGCCTTTGCCTTCTTAGTCTTGTGTAGCTGTCAAGCTGCTGCAAGGCAAAATTTTGCATATAAATCAATGCTGCAGGGTGATTTTCCCAGAATAATTACGGCTTGTATCCAAATCCCATTTACCTCCTCCCCAAAGAGACAAGAACAAAAGACAGTATTTGGATATGGGGGGGGAAATAAAGATAATAATTTCGGGATTTAAATAAATGAAGATCTGCTGATAATAGGATTTGCAGAGTAAATTAACCTGCATGCAACCTCCACACTACCAAAACTGTGCTGCTACCAGTCCCTGATAACGCCACCCCAGGGGAATCCCCCGGTAATGGAGTCACTGTTGTTTGCTTCAGGTAATGCTCCATGGGGTAAAAATTTACCAGTTGCTCTGAGCAACTGGGTTATAGAGATCACTTCTCTGTCCTAATTTGGTGATGTGAATTTCTTAAAGAGGAAAATTAGTTTTTACATTTTGTCATTATTTTTATTGCCAATTTTCCTAATGAATTACAAAGATCAAGAACTATGATGAAAGCCAACTCTCACAGAGTAAGGGAGAGGAAAAAAAAAAACCATCTCAGTAAAATCTGATTTTCCTCATCACTGGCTCTTTCATATCCCAATAATCCATTTTTGGGACAGATTCTAATCTCAGGCGCAGTGTGGGCATCCCGGCATACCTAAGAAAAATCTGTTCCTGTGCATCATGCGTAATATTGGAATCTGGCCCTTCCACTGGAGATGGAACATTTGCATAAAGTTCTTATGACTTTTTATAATAGCCATATTTTCTAATATTTGCAACTGTGCACATTTTAGCCTGGATTGCCTTTCATTCCACAGATGGTGCTTATGAAAAGCCCTCACATTTGGCAACTACAAAAATAAATTTGTCTGAGGCTGCAAATGTACAAATTCACCACGGAGCCCTCTGAACACAGTCCCTTTTCTGAGAACTTGGGTCTTGCCTTCATCCCTCCTTCCCGTGGTAAAGTCAACTGGCAATGTCAGAAAGCAAGTCAAACCTAAGAGCTGCCAATTACTGTGCTTTTACCCTGATTTATTTCTCAAGTTTAAGAGTGAATGAACTTTCTGAATGTATTCAGGAAACCCTCTAGGCATACACTGAACTTTATATACAGAATTAGCCCCAGGGAGATCAGTCACATCTCTAATTACTTGGATAGATCATCACCATTTTGTTCAGATTTCCCCCCCCCCAATCAAGTCTGTACATGAGCATGAGGCATAATACAGTCTGCAGGCAGTGGACATTTTGACCCCAGGTCTTCAGCTGCTGTTCCATGGGTGCTGATGAAGAAGGCCAGTTTTGCCTGTCCCTGCTTGCCCTGTACCCCCCAGCAGGGCATGGGGGGCCCTGGCAGGAGGGGCTGGTGGGCAAACACACACTGAGTATCTCAGGATGATGGGTGTTCCTTATCGGTGTATTTCCTTAAATGTCTTTAAAACAATTTTTAAGAGCACAGTTAATTTTTAGTTCAGAAAGACGTATTCTGTTGTTTGCCAATTTGTTCTCTCAAAACATGCCAGTTACCTCCATTTCAGTCTCAAACACCAATCACTTTGTTTTTCCAAGGGCTGCTCAATCTAATCCCAGTACATGTTATTTTTTATTAAATCTAGATAGAAAGCACTCATTCCTTCTTAGTTTTTTAAATTATCCATAATTCCTTAGTCACAGCATCTCTCTAATGCAGACCTCCAGTTTAACATCAGCTTGTTCATAGCTGCAGAGGCTCTAGAAATATGCTATGGCCTTTCTTCCTTTCCATGCATCCAAGATCAATGCAACTTTCTGCATTATTTTATGGTCATACAATTTGGAAATGTTAAGTGCTAGATAAATGTATATTATTATTTTGCCTCACTGTGAAGTTCACAGCACTTTCATTTTGATTTTTCACCTGCTATTGACTAAACTGTCATCCTATACTAGCCTTAAGATTTACACTTCTCTTTGCATAATAGTTTTCAGAGCTTCAAATCCAGCTTCACAACATCTTTGATTTTTAGTAGGAATCCAGCTGCAGGTTTTAGGGTGCTTGCTGGTGTTTTTAATAATATAGTAATTACTTTTTTCATTTGCTGCATTTTCCTCCCAAATTTCTCTGAGAGGTAAAATACAAATCATTCCAACAAGGGCATTAATATTCTGGTGTGTTTTCCTGACTTATCTTTCAAGTCTGTTGTCTAACTATGGACTATTTATTTGAGAAAATATAGAGATGAAAGGCTGAGTCCCAAACCCGCACTGGTGTAAATCTGCACAACTCTCTCGGAAGCGGAGACATTCTGCTGATCTCAATTAAATCTGCAGCAGGGGATGATTTGGTCTAAACAAGTTAACCCTTCTGCTTGCCTTCAGTACACACCTATATAAAGAGAAAAGAAGCTAAACTCTTCTCTAGTTTTTCAGTAGATACCTCAATGCTCCCAATAACCACCAGCAAATCGCAACCATCTCTTATGTTTCTGCTACTACTCCAGTGACTCCTGACTTTAGGAATGCCTCGCTTGCCTTCATCCAGCCATGGAGAAGGCCCTCAACACTGACCTTTTGTATTGCAGTATTTCTGTCCTGCTAACTCAACATCCCTTTCCACCTTCACATCACCTCCAGCCTCTCTTGAGGCTTATCCCCCTTTTTCCAACGGCTGTTCTCATCAAGGACAGTAAAGCCTTCCAATCTCCAACAAAACTAATTTGTCTCAGTAAATCAGGACACAGTATTTGGTCTAATTTACATCCTGTGAAACCCTAGTGCCTTTAGTAAGTGGCACAGGATGTAAATCAACCCACAATGTAACTCACAAAAAAGTTTTTCACCACATGCCAATAAAGTCAGCTTTCCCCCATTAGCTGCAACTCTTTCTTTCTGATATTATGTCTTTTCTTGAAGAATATTCTTCAGATGTTCAGTTCCTCTAGCTCCTTAGTATTTTTCCTCTGAAAATACAACTTTCTGTTCTTAACAACGATACTACAATTCACTTTCCCAACACCCTTCTCATCTTCTTTCCCCTTATCTCTATAATAATTTTCATGCTATTGAAAGTTTTATTTGCCATCCTGCCTTCTTGTGCTATTACACATCAGAGCCTTCTCAACAGCTGCTTTGATACACTGTACATCTAAACCACTTCGCTTGTTAAGGAAACAATAATTAAGGGCAGTTGTTTCGTTTTCAAGTACACAAAAAAATCCCACATTATAAAAATTCAACTGAGGGATTCATCTGGCTATATCCATCCACCTCACCTTAGCTTCCTTGAAACAAAATCGTCCACATACAGTGGGTGTTCCAAAAAAATAGGCCTATCCTATAAACCAGACCCAAAATATAACCTTGTGATGGCAGTGCTTTAAGTACTGCATGAGTTAACCATAAGAGAGTACTCAGTCAGAATGGCATTCCCTGTATCCATGAGGTTTTCCATGCATCCAGGCAGCAGTTCTCAGCTCACATACAGTGGGGAGAATTTAAATCAGGAGCCTTTGTAGCCATGTCTGTGCATGGTGGCAGCAGCCTAAAGCTGTACAGGAAGATGCATTTTGCAGCATTACTGTGAACAGTGTTTTAAATCAGGCTGTAAACACTCACTGAGAGGGACCATATTTAACTCCGGTACTAAGTAACAGGTAAGGAACAAGAGAGTTTTGACTGTACCTAGACTGGGTGAGTAGTGCACATTACACTGATAAATGTTGTTCCAACGTTCTGCTTTAAATAACTGTCTTCTGAAAGAGTAAAGTTCTTCTGTCTAGATGAAAACTCCAATTTTTCTGTCTGGGCAGAAAACCAAATCAAATAGCAGTGAAGATTACAAGGCAGAAAAGAGGGGAAAAGGAAAAAAACAATAGTAGCATATCTACGTTTTCTAAAGTCTGGGGGAAAATTAAAAAATAAAAATCTTTCTAAACACATTCAGAGCATTGGAAGCCCAGAAAAATCAGATCCTGTTATAACCACAAGCCAACATCCACGTTTGTGTTCATCACTACCTGTATATTTGAACAAAAATCAGACTGTGCTCTGGAGTATCCAACTTTCCTCCCATGACTCCCCCCCCGCCCAAAAAAAAAGAAACTCTTTCAGGACAAGTTTGCTGTATTCCTGAAAACTACAAGTCCATTGCCCTGTTTCTCTGAGAGAAACATTTTCTTAAATATTCTGTATTTCATTCATCTATTTGTAATTAGGAGTGAGCTCACATTTACATTAAAGGAATTCAATGACTGATGAACGACAAAAATGCATTTCTTGTCAAGTGACCTATTGCAGTTGTGCCAGCAGTGCTGGTAGTGATGTGTTTGCACAACCTCCTCTGCTATGACATGAGGAAGGATGCTGTCTGAAGTCATTCACATCGTGGCTGTTCTCTTAGGATCCCTCAGTAAATTCGTATGGCTGCAATATCTTTTGTGAACGTATAAAATAAAGCTTCCTAAAAGGATCCTGTCATTGTACATTTATCAGCTGAAGTCGCCAGGACTATGCAGGAATATGGCACAATCCTAATTCGTCCATAAGGATGTGGGCTGTGTGTGCCCCTTGCTGCTCATTTCATCTACCAGTGGAATGAGAGGAGTATTACTGAAGAGCACAGTTTAAATAAGGTCAGGAGGTCAGCTTTCTCCAGGATGCTTTAGTGAAATGGACTGTAAAAAACTCCTACTGTGTGTGAGAGCAAGAAGAAAGGGTATTATAATAGACACATTCAATACAAGGTAGAACCAGAATTTTAAACACAGGCTGATGATTTGATTTCTCCATTGGAATTCAGCATAACTGCAACTTAACATGTGTAGCAGAACAATTGCTAGAGCTTTTTTCCTGTCCTGTAAAGAGTAAATAGGTTCTTAACAAGTCTCCCTCCAGAAGTCAAGAAGAGGAAAGTGTTTCTATAAACACAGCAGTCTCAGAACTGTGAGCAGCTGAGCGGTTCACGTGGTGAGGGTGCCACCAGCTCGAGCCCCAGCACCTCCACTTCTCCATTTTGCAGTTCTGTGATGCCCTGTT